CTATAACTTTTTAATATCTTGCACACATATTAGTTTTAACACATGAAATTTTCGAATCTTCTATAGCGCATAATATATATTTATTAAGTTTCAAAATTGTATAATTTCACATTAACCTTTATGTTAACCTGAGTCGAAATGTCGACTTGGAAAGGTTATTATGCCGGTTGAACAAAAGATGAATATTACCATTTCCTAATCACATCTGTAAAATAAAGAACAATTGTAGTTCATCGCGCGCATCTGGACATTCGATCGCTCTCCAAGTTCGAGGGGATGTTTCTCTTTGCTCTTTGATCGAAAGTTATCCGAAATCGTCTCATTTGAATAAGATGAATGAAGACATCACACAACGACACAGTGCGAGAACGATGAAGCCGATACACGAGATTGGATGGAGGATCTTTACGGCGTGCCCGGAGCGCACTGAACCATACCGATTGATTGCTATCGTTACGAAGACAATGGCCGACACAGGCTCGCTCTAACGATGACGCTTGACTTAGAGATCAGGGATTATCTTGTGGTAGCGTGACGACTAACAAGCATAGGCCGGGACAGGCTCGACTCTGCCCGATGAAAACCGACCTCCCCCCGGCTACCACCCACGCTCGTGCGGAGGCTGTGCACTTTTCACTCGTTCGCTTCTCGACACCGTGATAGGCAAATTGCTACTTTGTCATGCAAATCGTCGCGGCGCGGAGCGTCAAATTGAAAATTGGAAGTTTCTTCGCAAGGCACCGTTCCCTCGTAAAATCATGAGAGCCCCGCGGACGGAGGGTGAACGATCTCAGGTGTCGTTCGAGTAGACAAAGTGTACTTGTTGCGTTTCGCGCGCGCGCGAGAAAAAAGCGAAAGAGGCTAACGAGACTGAGGTGGGTACTCTTAGAGAGACAGTTCGTAACCCATCGCGAGTATCGTGCTCCAAAGCTCAAGATAATAGGCTGGCGCGCAGGTGCGCTCCGGCTCGCGTGTGAAGTTCACCGTGCACTCGCATTTTAACACCTTTCCCCTGATGTAATTTTTACGACACCGTGGCGTTTTCGCAGTGTCGCGTTTTTGCTCGTTCCGGTTCCTCTCTTCCTCGAGTGTCGCCTCTCGCGTGAATATTAATTTTCAGGCCTTCCTGCGAAGAGTTTCTTTTTTCCTCTCTTCAGCGAATCGAAGTGAGGAATGGCGCGTGACGGTGGAAGTTTAGTAGCCGCTGATTACACAGTGGAATGCTTTTCGCTTTAGGAATAATTCACTGTTTCTTTTGGCTATAACTTTCTTTAACGACTCCACAAGAATTAAACGACAGACGGCTTGCAAGAATTCACTTTACGTTTTAATTAAGATTTTCTTTTATGGTTTATATAGGAAATTCGTTCAAATATGTATGCCTCGCAATCTGACTGATAGTTAGAAATTGTTTACGAAATTTTTTCAAATGAAATTAAATTCGAAGTATATGATATTCTGAAAACTTGTCTTTAAATTTGAAAAGTAAATGTCAAATTGCCCGAGTTGCTGATCTCTGCGAAACTTGGATTGATGACTGGTTACTGATGAACAGTGGCGTATCACAAAGGAAGTATGCATCATTTCAGTTGGCTACGGTTAAATCATTGTTATAGTAACTGTTACGGGCGCTGTTACAGGTAGCAAAATTTAATTTGGAAATAACGCGAACGTCCGCTTATACGTGATACCTGTTCTCATAGCTTCCAAGAACCAACAGTATGAAGAGCCGAGGGGTGTCTGCGCAGCTTCACCCCTTTTTATCAGCGCGTTACCTCGCCATCTACTGGAAGCTGAGAGAATCAGGAGATGTATTGAACAGGCTGGATGCGCGCAGCGAGATGCGCGAATATCCGCGAATTCTCGTCAGCGGGGGACCGCAGTCCGTACAATAAAGAAAAAAGCGTCCAGGATAGAGCGAGAGGCGGCGAGGTGGTGCTAGTAGGTGCGAGAGAGTATTCCGTCGAGAGAGAGCGACGGGGCCGCGAGCGAGAGCGAGCCCTAATCCTCCCGGACGCCGAAGAGGCGGACTCGATTAATAGTCGCGCTCGCGAGTGAAACAACGTCGTCCACGGCCGCAGCTCGGGATGACTTCCGCGGTGCACTGAGAGCGGGATTTCTGGCGCGGGCTTGCACTTCGATGGGTGATCGTGCGCACCTGAAGACTGCGGCATCGGCATCTCGCAGGTCTCCTTGAGTGAGGTGGTCAGTTCGAGTAGCCGAGCGGTCATGTAAACGCTCCGCTGACTCTCTCTTGGTGCCGTTGAGTGGTCCAACCGTTAGCGTACACCTTCACGAAGTGAATCTTTGCCTGATCCGGAATCCTATTACGAGCGACAGGATGAGACCGAGCGTGATTGTTCTGCTGCTTTTGCTCTGCGCCCAGTTTCTTGCGTCAGAATCAAAACTTCGCCAGCAAGCAGCCACGGTAGACGATGACGATGAAGACGACGATGACTGGGACGACGACGATGAGGAAGACGACGACGGTGGCTACCAGCCGAAGCCCGAAGTCGACGACGACAGCCGTATCTACAAAAACCCGCGAAACTCACCCTCTGCCATGTGCCCAAGGAGCGAGGAGCAGGCGGAGCTGATAGGTCAGAAGTGTCTGCGGAAGTGCTCGACCGACGAGGACTGCAAGAGCAAGAAAAAGAAATGCAAATGCGATGGAGCCTGCGGAATGTCATGCATCAAACCGGAGCGCGAATGTCCGGCGTTAACTGAGATCGATCACGGTGTGATGACAGTCGGCGGGAAATTCTTCGGAGATCGAGTACATTACGTCTGCGATACCGACTACTTCATGGTCGGCTTGTCAGATCGAACGTGTCGCGCGGACGGTCAATGGACCGGCACTACTCCGTCCTGCAAGAAAGACTCTAGTTCCTTCTGCTCCCAGCCGCCAAAGATCCAAAACGCGCGCCACAATGCTCTGGCTGAGCAGACGACCTTCGACCTCTCCAGTGCAGTGCAATACTTCTGTAATCACGGATATGTCGCCACGGGGGTGAAGATAGCGAAATGCCTGATGATGAATAACATCGCTAACTGGTATGGGCCCGATATCACTTGCAAGCCTCAGAACTGCGGACCACCGCCGGTTATTCTTAGTGGATGGCATGCTGGTGAGTCAGTTCGTGCAATCAGTCGGATCTGACGTAGATCTAACTACTTAACCGCGTTACGGGAGAGATGTTCTCTCTAAATTTCTTTGAGTGAAATTCCACTAGGAATGTCAAGTAAATTAAAAGTAAAGCAAAAATAAAGGAAAAAATAAAAGCCAAGTCGTTCAAATTGGAGTGACTTTTCACTCATGTAGAATTATTTCTCCACTTTGTTGTCGAATAAACATTTTTTTTCAAAACTAGAGTTAATTCGATGTATTTCACTACCATAGGAACAACTTTACTCGAACGATGGAAACATTTACTTGTATAAATTAAGAATACAAAATGTAGATTTGATTTAAACATTCGCTTTTGTAATTCAGAGAGTCAATATTTGCATCATTACTGCAAGTATATCTTCACTCTTTCTCTCTTTCTCTCTCTCTCTCTCTCTTTCTCACTCGTTTCAACTGAAATTTTACTATAGAAGAAATTTAAAAGATACTTTATACTTTATTTTTTTGAGTAAAATTCTACTTGAAAAATAGAGTGACAATCGAGTTCCAAGTGCGACTTTTCACTTATAAGAGAGAAATCACCATTCTGAATATATTTATTTGAAATTAAAGAATTGATCTGATTGCTACACCATTAGAAGAATTAATTTATTCGAATTAATTGAAACATTCACTCATATGAATGAAGAATCCACTCAAAGTTTAAAGTGAAACATTGTGATATCCGGGTTGCAATATTTTCAATGTCCCTTCTAATGAAAAATTTCACCCGTTTTGAGAGACACTCTGAGGAATTTAGCTAGCTAATTTCAAGGTCCTACTTTCAAGGCGAATGTTACACGTACGACTGTCGCGTGTCCTATCACTGCTCGGACGGCTTCGAGCTGGTTGGTAAAACGGAAAAATTATGCCTGGCGGACGGCTCGTGGACCCCGAAGGAATTGCCGCAGTGCGTTCAAGTAAGAATTACGAGAATTCGAATCACTGCGAGCCGAGTGTGTGCGTGTCGCTCGTAAGCTAAGTAACGTGCTCCTTAATATCTCTCGCGTACAGGTCACGACCGTGCAGTGTCCGAAGCCGGAGAATCCACCTAACGGCAAGGCTGTCTACACCTCCTACGCGTATAATTCCGTTGTATCGTACGAGTGCAAGTACGGCTACAACGTTCTAGGCGCAGCAACCAGACGTTGCGGTGCTGACAGGAAGTGGACTGGAAAGACGCCTATCTGCCAGGAAATCAATTGCGGCTCGCCGGGTGTGCTGTACAACGGCTGGATCGAAAACATGGACGATGGTGTGTTATTTAACACTGACGAAGTGACGCGACGTTAAAGTAACGCGTGTTTCACGCGTGCTATCTCACGCGTGCGCTGTGTATCATTATTGTTTCTCTGAAATTAATAATCACAGGCACAGGCATGGGCGCCAGCATAATCTTCCGCTGTAAGGATCACATGAAGCTCGAGGGCAACACCTCTTCGGTCTGTCAGAAGGACGGCAAGTGGCGTTATCCTCTGCCGCAATGTCTAGCTCCATGCGTCGTACCGCAAATCGAGAACGGCCACATCATTGTGGCCAGCCATGAGAGGGATCACATCAACAATGTCACCGTGGTAGAGCATGGGGAGAGGCTCTTAGTAACTTGTGTTCAGAACTACGAATTTGCCGCCAACAGTACTCCAGTGTTATGCAACAACGGCACTTGGTCGATAGTGCCGAGTTGCTCGCCTGCCCGGTGTAAGCAGATGCCGAAGAGCCCGAGAAACGGCATGGTGATAGCGCCGAAGACGGATCATGGCATGAAGGCGGTCTTCAAGTGCAAGGATGGTTTCGAGTTGATCGGCGGTGGTCCCTTCAACGCCTCCATATCCGTGGAATGTCGCTACGGCAATTGGATCGGCGACATACCGCACTGCGACCAGGTGTTTTGCCCATTCCCGGGATTCATCGAGAACGGCAAGGTATTCTTGGTGGGCAATATGGGAGTTTACGATTACAGGCCGTATGTGCGGAAAATTGTCAACAACAAGCAGATCATGTACGACTGCGACAAAGGCTATGTTCTCGACGAGGGTCCAACAGGCGCGACCTGCATAGGCGGCTCATGGAGTCCCAAGGAATTGCCCAAGTGTATTCTTGGGCAACACCCTAGGCTCAGATGGAGCAGACGACGTAGATCAGTGGACGATGAAAACGTCACTTTGAACTACAAGTAAGTATTTACGAATTATTTGAATACGAGTGTTTCAAACGAATAATTTAAATAGTTAGAAATAACTTTTTGAGCTTTCTTCGTAAAAAAATTTTATTAAGTTGAATCAAAAGTTTTTTCCCATTAATACTGAACAAGTAATTGATATCTTTTTTATTTGTATTTTAATTTGTTTGTAAAAACAATTTTGACAGTTTAAAGAGAAAAAATACACAAAAATAAAAGTAACACATAAAAAGAGAAAAAATTAAAATACGTAAAATAAATTGATATATAAATAAATTTTTAAATAAAAATATATATGGAAAAACATCGAAATAATAAAAAAATTAATAAAAAACATCGTATATAATAAAAAGTATATGTATAGAAAAAATAGATGTTTCAAAAATTCAATTTACTCAAAAATAGACATAAAATTAATGAAATTTATCAAGTACTTAATATGTTTAAAAAAAGAACTATATATATCTGACATGTATAATATATTTAAGTATATAAAATATCTTACAAATATATTTCATATATATATATATATTTTTTTTTTTTTTTTTAATATTTTATTATGTCTATTTTGCAATAGAATTATGCCGATAAATAAAATATGTATTCTATAGGAAGAAATTTAATTGAAATCAATTTAATATTTTAGAAAACGAAGATAATATACAAATCGAGTCAGGAATAAAAGTTGGATATTAACGTTTCAGAAAATTCATCGAATTTTTCCGGAAAGTGGGTAAGAAGTTACTGCATATAGAGATGAACAAGAGCCGTCAACACTCCAAGCATAAGATGGAAGGTAAGCTTGGGTCCATCAGCAAGCATCAAAACAACACTAATACGTCTGACTCATCGTCGGCTTGGAAAACACATGCGGCTCACGGTAACAAGTCCCGTCTACGAGAAGAACGAATGATCGACTTCCTGAAAATCGTGTACAGAAAACTCCAACGCATGGACGCCAAACAGCCGAACAACTCCAGCAACAGCACGATGCACGATCTACTGAACGCCATGAGCAAGAACTTCTTTCACGTGGACCTCTCAGAATCGCGGCGAAACGGTAGCAGAGCCCGCTCGGACTTCGAGATACGCAATCAGAGAGAATTCATCAAGCTGAAAAGGGAATTCGAGCGGATCATGAGATTCTACAACAAGTCCATACGTTGGAACGAGAAACAGAATCGGAAGGACGCCAAGAGAAAAGGCCTGTCGCACGCGGAAAAACGAAAGGACAAGAAGAAGCACCGGAAGAATTATTATAAAGGCTTTTACGAATTCGTCAACAGCTACGTAACCGAGAAGTTGTCGATGTTGGAGGCGCGCAACGCGACCGAGGAATTAATCAAGAAAATGAAAATCGACAAGTTTACTGTGAGGAACGGCACGACCTTTACAGTCGGCGAGATGTACGCGTTTTTCAAACATATCATAGAAGATAGATTGAACTCGACCGAGGAGAATGTCGTAACCGTCGAGCCCAACACAACGTCGACGTCGAAGCCAGAGGTCGAGCCGTACGTTAATCAATCTTCGACAATCCCGAGTAACGAGGTCTCCGCATTGGACAACGAGATTCCGACCAAGGAGGGGGCGCCCAAGCATCGCAGCAAGCGGATACGAAACGCCTCGGAGGACACTACGGCGCCGCGTCAGAAGAGGAAGCTCCTGTCCCTGAAACCGGCTGACGTGGATGACCCGAAGAAGCCAAAGAAGCCGAGCCACGCGGCCGACGTTGAATCAAAACAGTTCACCTTTGACGAGCTCGAGGCGCAGCAGCAGAGCCGCTCCAAGCGGTTCCTGCCACTCTCCGAGCTGGATAATCAAATCTTCCTCAAGAACTTGTATCTCAACGCTTACGAGGATGAGTATCGGGCGAACGTGAAGCGATCGATCGGCCAGATTAACCGCACGGCCGACGCACAGCCCACGTTGAGGAGACGCAAGGGCAACCTCGGCGCTTACGAGATCAAGTGAGGAAAATAATGTGTTGTGATATTAAACGGAATTTACTAAGTCATTTACCGATATCAATCGATTTTAGGCGAGTATACACCATATACGATAGTTATTAATCGTTGTCCCTCGTCGATACGCACTGTAAACGTGTATCGCGCTTTTTTGAAAAATAAATCTTTTCCATGCAAACACCCGCCACAGTACATCCATATGCTCGACCCGCTCACAGAGGTGCGCTCGCGCGCACAGGTCCTACGAAAAGCTGTCAATAAATATTATGTGTGTACACAGGGCTGTCAATTATTTGATGATAAGGCAGGAGAAAAATCAGATTGCACGTATGTCGCGTTACGCAAGTTCGCGCGGCGAGATCGTCGTTCTCGCAACGCCCCAAATACGTAACGAGAGACGGCATGTTACGTCACGATGCGCGATATCATGAAATTCCTCAGCAAACTATTTATTTCGTCCGCGCCGATCCGGTTCCGCAAAAATTGCTCGTCGCCGGCGCTCACGACCCGATCACGCCGAAGGTGCGGGCACGATCGTAAACATTCGCAATTGCCGCCGCGCGATATCTCACGATCTGGTTGCACCGTGACGGCGATTATGCTGCAACCGCTCGAAGCAATTAAGCCCCTCCGAAAATAAGCGGAGCCTAAAACGAGATCAAGGGGCGCGGTCGACCGAGGCGAGTAATTCGCTCGCGTAGCACGCGGCGACGCGCACCACACACGCTTCCCAACCTGTCAATAACGACGCTGTCATTAATTACGAGCCAATTATAATCCGTGAATGCTCACGCGATTCGTGTACACGATGCCATCGATGTCGCGCTGCTCGTTAACATATCCGACCGTATGGCTTCTCGGAATCGTGTTGAATCGATTAATCGCTCGCGCGATAACTTGGCGCATTCATCACGATAAAGAACTCGCGCAACCGGGCGATAATACGTCGTTAGAAGTGCGACATGAATGTCAGATCGCGGAGATTATATTTAAATTCGGGACATGGCGCGACCGCATGAGCGAAATCGCTCGCGATACGATGGGTGGTTTGTTCGTACGCGACTTATCAGTGCCAACTGATAATGGTAGGTCTTAGAATATCGCGAAGCGATATTCTTTCGCAACCCAGTTCGCGTACGGAAAATTTTTTTAGTTTGTGTAACTGAATGGGGATCAAACGAAAAACTCGTTGACGAGAAATAATATCTCTGTTCCTGTGACTGAATATATTTGTCTGAACTTTCTGAGACTTGATTGAGATAACTGTAAGCAATTGGCTGAGTAGAAACCTCCCACAGGAATCTTACTACAGGTTTCTATAACCGAGTTCTTCATCTGATTCGCAGTTGACAGAAAATTTAGTTATACCAAAGGAATTGTTTCTTCTGTACGAGTTGAATCAATCAATTCGGTGTTCTTTGAATTCTTTGGAGCAAAATCTGATTCAGTAATCTGCGAAAATTTATTCAAAACGATAATATAAATATCTCTATTTGTACGGGAAATAAATCGCAGTTTATGCAACAAAATTGGGATTAGATAGAAATTCGACGACGTGAAATGCGACCGTAATCAGAAACATTGATATGAACATTCAGCTAAACCTGATTGAAACTTGATTGAAATAATGAACTGAGAACTTGACTGAATAGAAATCTCCTACGGAGCTACGGGAATCTTTTTGTTTCCTATTCTTACCAGGCGACGGAATTCAGTTACTAAAGATTTGTCTACGATAGCGGAGTATACTTGAAATAAGCTGAAGTAGATGTGAGCGATATATAGAGATATTACTTTGTTTTTTTACTCTAACTTTTGTTTTTTTACTCTAACTTTTGTCAAACTTATTCTTTGTGTTGTATGGACGAACATTAGCATTAACGAATGAACATTAACATTAACAGAATTGTTTCCTCCGTAAATTCTGTGATTCCCGCGGAATCACAAGAGTAAATGTTTATCTTAAACTTAAATCCACAAGAGTAAATGTTTTAGCTGGTTGAAGTGGATTTGTCCCAGCGACGGCAAAGTACATTAGATTCACTCCTTAATTCTGAATGAAAATGTTCACTCGATGATTCAGAAAAAAGAATTCGCTCTATCAGAATAAAATGTTATTAGTTAGAATAAAATGTTGACAAAATCACTCGGTTATTATTCTGTTTCTTGAGTGGAATCTCACTCGAAGAAATTTAGATAGGGTAGATATTACGTAACGGGACTACGCCCCGCGATCACTTGTGCAAGTGGAAATAATCGAATCGCGAGAGTAATTGTATACGATGCATTTGAATTTTAAATGCCATACCGCGTCACGGGGATACACCGACGAGGACACGCCGAATAAGAAATTGTCGAAACCGGTGAAAATCGATAGCCGCGGGGGGCATTGTTCTCAGCCGGCCGTAAATGGCAGAGAATTAGAGCGCGTGCGCTTAACGAAAAGCAACACGGGAGAAAAATAAAAGCGTCGACGGGCACGCATCACTAATTCAGTTAGACCGGCGCGTTCCCGGCATTATTTCAATTCGTACGACCGATGATTACGTAGTCACTTGGCCGGCGCTAATTACGTTAACACACGTGAGGGAACTTGCGGTAAGTGCCTCCCGGCTAGTTCGACTTGGCATCAATTAGAGCCCCCTCACGTGCAACCTTCGGCACACACGGACAATTCGTCGTTAGAACTCTTAAAAGTGTGTTAACGACGAATAATGGGAAACGCGTACGTGACGGGAGATCGCAAAGACCTCTACGCGAAGCGTCGCAATAAGAGTCTCGCTTCAAAGAGGATTCATTGTCGTGTAAAAAATTATCATCGCTCAATTATTACGCGACATCGATATCCATCGACTAATTGGTTTCTCCAGCTCCCGCAGTACAAACAACGAGAAGATATCCGTTGGATATCGTGACATAATTATTGGTAATCGATACTATGATACTGCCGTGTCTATATATTGCTTACATATTTATTTCAACTTTGTCTCAAATTAACATTTATAATTTAGATAATTAAATAAATGTATGGAAATGTAATCTTGTTCGATTAATAATAAGTTTACGAGTGAATCTCTTTTGAAGTGCTACTGAAGATACTGAGCTTGATCAAATTACACTTATGTTTTATATTTTTGACAATTCAATCATGAGTTAAGATTTTATACGGCCAATGCAAATCAAAGCAACAGTGAACAACTGCTTACTCGCAAAAAAATGACTTAGTAATATCATCTAAACCGCAGTAGCTGATTCAAAAGGTTAATCGTTTAGCTGTCACTGCTAAGAATTGGTTATGACAGCTAAAATGCATTCACTATGAAATACAAATATATTAGGTGACATTTAAAATGCACATTATTTCAAATAGCTAAGAAAATGACAGTTAACCTTAAATTTCTGATCGTATGCATATATTAAAGAAGTTTGCCGCATAGCTACAATCATTTGTTACAGTCATTTGTTTCTAGCAGCTAATATTTCTCGCTGTAGCGCCTAAGTTTAAACAGCGAATAAATTTAGTTTCGGTAGTATCGACATTAGCTGTCCCTATTTCAATGATACATCTTATCTGCTATTTTTTCGCTGCTTTATCACAGCCCTAAACTTATTTTTTAGCTCTGGAAGCTAGTTCTTTTTTAGCGTGTAACAGCAAAAAATGGCAATAATTCGCGCTTCAATGTCGAAAAGCGAGAAACAAATGCCTCAAAGGCTTTCACGCTTTCTGCTGTTTTATTAGTTTCATTATCGTCCACTTTCGAAAGTCTCGCTTGTGGAAAAGGGTTTTTTGGATAATCCTGCGTCTCGCCCTCTCCGTCGATGAATCGCTACGTAGCCGCTGTACCGACAATACGAATGAAGTCGGGCTCGGTGGCAGGAGAGCCGAGTAGCCGATGATAATCTCATTGAAAGAGGAGTTAAGCGACGCCGGGCTTCCTGCCAATTCAGCTTGCCAAGTGTCGCCTTAGACGCAGTCAATGCCGCCGCGAAATTGCTACGGCTCAATGAAACCCGCCGGTATTTCGTCCGAAGATTTGCCTAGATAACCGCACGGCCGACGGGACGTGCCAAAAACGCGTTATTGTGCACGACCACCACGAGTTCATGAATGAAACCGAGCTCGTGCCTGATCGTGCCGCTCAGATGGATGGATTAAAGAGAGAAGGACAGAGAGGGAAACTGGGGAGAAAGGGTTTACCGTGCCTTTCAATTGAACGGGTATTATTAACCACTGGGCCAATCGGTCTTCTACAACTAGCATTCTTGGAACTTCCTGTATCCTGAATTGTATCGTGTATCCTAGATTTGTTGGGTCGCTAAGGGTCCCGCTGCGCACTTAACTCCAAATGGAGTACGAAACCGCACGTCGTCATCTCGAACTTCCTCGCTTCTAAGTGACATTCTGCTCGCTGCAGAGAAACGATATCCACGGGAATTATCTGCATTAACCAGCAAAATAGCCTGAATATACAATGTAACTACGTCATTAGAATTGTCTAACAGTAATTGTCTGATAGTATTGAGGTTTTCTAGCAGAGTGGCGATATCTTCACTATGGCTTTGGTGTGAATTTGGTATTAATATTCATGAGTAGATAACTTAAATGACGTGTTAATAGTTCAAATGGAGTTTCCTGTAACTTTGTATGATACATAGTAATAAAATCAATAAAAATAAAATTGTCTACCATTTAAAGACCGGTAGGGCTTTGGAAACCTTATAGAGATTCTGAAACTATTCTAATCAGGATAATAATAATAATAATAACAATTATAATAACAACAGCAACACCAATAATAGTACACTAATATCAGTAACAATAACAACAGCAGCAACAACATCAGTAGCGGCAACAACAGCAACCAACAACACCAGCAACAACAATAACAACAATGACAATATTAATAATAGCAATAATAACAATATTTACTTTATTGGGAATTGTCTTGTGACATTACAAATTTGATATCCCGCTGGTAAACTTCGAATGTGTTTTTTGATTATGTTCAAAAGTATTTTGGTTATTACAAAAGAAAACATACGGGACAGTTGTGGGCACAAAAACATAGACAAAGTTTGTCTCTATCATGTTTGTACAATCAGCCACAGTAATTAGTTGTCTAACAAGTTGTAACTTCGAAAATTTGAGAAATGTGTCGTCTAGTTCCGGTTTTTCCT